CCGTAATGACCGTGTGATGTGTACCCCGTCATGGGAGCTCGACCATGCTCACTGCCTCCTGCGTTGTCTGGCGTCTACGGTTTCAGATCACTCTCCCTCTTCCTGGACTGTGCCACCCGGGCGTCCGACAGCTGATGCTTTCACTTCCAGCAGTACTGGCCCAGCCTTGATGGCTTTCAGCACACCGTCCAGTCGGCGTGGCACTCCACGGCCCCGGAGCTCGACCCGTTCAGGCTCATCTTTGCTCGCCTCGGGGCCACCGCGCGCAGCCTCCAAAGATGGAGCTCTCGCTTCACCTCGAATCTTACTGCTCAGCTTGGGGTTTCCCGCGAGCTCATCGCCAAGCTTGACGAGGCTCAAGACACTCGCCGCCTTTCCCCCCGAGACCTGGCTCCGCCGGCAGCTCAAGCGTAAATACCTCGGGTTGGCCTCCCTCGAGCGGTCGATCGCCCGCCAGCGTGCCCGGTTGCGCTGGCTTCAGGCTGGCGAAGCTGCTGCCGCCATCTCCAAGATTCGGGAGTCTCACCGTAGCAATAAGAACCACATCCTCAGCTTCCTTGTGGATGGGGTGCACGTGTCAGGTGAGGCGGACCTAGCCCAAGCCGCGTTCACGCACTTCTCTTCCGTTCTCGGCGCCCCTGCCGCGCGCGGGTTCACCCTCGTCCCGGAGGCCATTGGCCAGCGCTCCTTCGACCTCTCTACCTTGGATCGCCCATTCTCGTCGGCGGAAATCTGGGAGGCTATCAAGCGGCTCCCTTCTGGCAAGGCACCCGGCCCCGACGGATTCACTGCCGAGTTTCTACGCTCATGTTAGCACATAATCAAAGATGACCTTTGCGACGTCTTCGACAAGCTCTACGCGCTAAATGGCCAGGCCTTCCAGCGGCTCAATGAGGCGTACATCACTCTGCTTCCTAAGCGACCTGACGCCGCCTCCCTCTTTGATTATCGGCCGATCAGCCTCATCCATCTGATCGCGAAGCTCTTTGCTAAGGTTCTTTCGCTCCGCTTGGCGCCGCGCCTCGGCGAACTCATCTCCACCAACCAAAGTGCCTTCATCTCGGGACAGAGCGTTCATGATAACTTCCTCCTCGTCCAGCAGACCGCGAGGCAGCTGCACCAACTGAAGCAACCCCGTGTGCTACTCAAGCTGGATATCACGTGAGCATTCGACTTTGTCTCCTGGCCCTTCCTGCTTCAGGTGCTCCAACACATGGGATTTGGCCCGCGGTGGCGTGAGTGGATTTCCATTCTGATCTCGACTGCCTCGACGCGCGTCCTGATCAATGGCACGCCACCCCCCTGATTCCGCACGGCCAGGGCCTTCACCAAGGGGATCCGGTCTCCCCGATGCTGTTCGTGCTTGTCATCGACACGCTCAACATGCTGCTCCAGTTCGCCGTTCAGTCCGGCATCGTCAAGCGGCTGACGCGCAGGCATGCCCCGTCTAGCGTCTCTCTCTTCGCTGACAATGTGATCATCTTTTCCACCCCGACGAATCTGAGCTCTCTGCTATCAACTCTCTGCTTGAGCGCTTCGACGCTGCCTCGGGCTTGCACACTAACTTCGCGAAGTGCCAGGCCGCCCTCATCCAGTGCCTGGACGGCTTTGCGAGCAACGTCACCACCGCCCTCGCCTGCCCGGTGGTGCCCTTCCCCATTCGCTACCTAGGCCTCCCTCTCTCGCTCAGGAAAGTTCCTACCGCCCACCTGCTTCCCCTGATCGAGAAGCTTGGTCGCAAGCTTGCTACTTGGAAAGCTGCTCTGCTCAACCGCGGCGAGCGACTCAACTTGGTTCGTCAAGTTCTGAGCGGTATGCCTGTCCACATGCTCCTTGCCATGGCCCTCTCCCCTGCCATCCTGAAGCAGGCCAATCGTATCCTCCGTGATTTCCTCTGGCATGGGAGGAAGGACGCGCGTGCTGGTTCTTGCCTAGTTAGCTGGGCACGGGTTTGCCGCTCGATCGGGCTAGGGGGTCTGGGCATCCGCGACTTTCACCGCACTGGCATCTTGCTTCGGACGCGTTGGCTTTGGCTCCAGGCTACTGACCACTCTCGGCCGTGGGCACACTTACAGCTCCCGCGCGACCCTGAGGTGACTCAGTTTTTCCGGGCATCCACGTCGTGGATCCTTGGTGATGGCAACACCTGCCGCTTCTGGTTGGACCCGTGGCTGGACGGTCTTTCCCCCCTCGACAGCGCCCCTTCCTTGGTGGCGTTGGTTCCTCGCCGTGTCCGGCGCTCGCGTACGGTGGCCCAGGCGCTTTCTGACCGTTGCTGGATCTCTGACATCCAAGGCCCCCTCGATCCCGCGGCCGCGGTTGAATATGTGGAGCTCTGGCGCCGCCTCCAGACTGTCGAGCTTGTCCCGCGCCCGGACCTGCTTCGCTGGCGCTGGACTGCCAATGGCGTCTACTCTGCTTCCTCATGCTACAGCGCCCTATTTCATGGATCCACGGCCTCCGAGTTTTGGCGCCTCACCTGGGAAACTAGTGCCCCCACTTCGGTCAAATTCTTCATCTGGCTCGCATCCCTTAACCGGTGTTGGTCTGCTGATCGCCTGGCTCGGCGAGGTCTGCCACACGAGCCCGTGTGTGTCTTTTGCTGTCAGAAGCCCGAAACACTCCATCACATCTTGGTGGGATGTGTGTTCGCGCGCATCACATGGCACGAGATCCTTGTTGGCGCTGCCTCTCCTTGCAGCGCCGCTTCTTCTTCTTCTACCTTAAGCTGCCTCTCACAACTCTCTCTTCTCTCAAGAGAACAAGAACACACACATGGAATGAACACACACACACCTCACCGTGGAGGAACCAGCTTTGCTTTGTTCTCCCGGTGAGACACACATATGCTACATCTTTTCCTACCCAGCCCTCACGGCCTTCAATTCTCGTTACTCGATGGAACTATTTATACATAGGAGAGCCTTACGCACGTCCTGGCTAGTCAGCACTCTCGGCCACCACACACCACGCACGCACGCACGCACCACTAACAGACTAACCACATGACTCTGTCTCTATCCCCTGAAATCGCTCCAGGATATACACAAGACCGGCCATCATGCATGCAAACCCACGCAGGAGGCTAGCTAGCATATCTCATGCACTAACAAACTCACCGAATCTTCTCAGCTTTAGCTATTCGTCCAGCCGGCCGTCAGACTCCATCACGCGTCTTGTTGCTTCACACAACATCGCCGTATCGCACGACCTTGTCGTCTCGCGCAGAACTGCAGCTTCACACTATCATCGGCATCTTGCCGTGCTCGCCGTATCGCACGGCAGTCCGGCATCTCGCGTCCTTCGCGCGCCTCCGCTGAAACCTTGCCGGCTAGCTACTCCCTAAACCATCTAAGACTACATGCAAATAGCAAAACTAAATATGCGGATACGTTGAATCAAAATTAGTGCTAACAATCCTCTCATGGTGTTCCCCAACGACGGTTGCGCCCGATGGCACCACCGGCTACTTTGCCTGGCTCTCCGCAGCCATGATTCCCCTCCCGGCTGCGCGCAGGTGTGGCCTGGCCACTATCGCCTCCCTCGTTGCCTGGTCCCCGTGGGGACACCGGAACGCGATCATCTTCGATAAGGTTACCCCTTCTTCCTTTTCCCTGATCGCCGCCATCAAGGACGAAGCTCATTCATGGGCTGCTGCTGGAGCTCGAGGGCTAGCCTCGAACCGTTTTGTAACCTGACATTGTAATTGTTGGGGCTGAGCACCCCCCCCCCCCTACCTCTGCTCCCCCGGGTTCATAGGCTCGCCATCCGTGCGCACGAGGCTATGATTCCCACCCCTATACCTTCTCTTTTTTTTCTCCATCTATCAATACAATGATACGCTTCCTTAGCGTATTCGAGAAAAAAAGAAGCCTTTCTGACCCTCGATGTCTTTGGTGACTGATGACTTTATCATCACAGATGGTCCAGTTGTCCGGTTGTAACGCCCGGCCAAACCTGTTGGTTCTTGGCCATTGGCCTATCTACCATCTAGGACCTAGATTGGTCTCACAGAACAACAATATTTTTTTCTACGCATTTTATGATCACTCGTGCGCATGCATCAACTTTTCGGCCAGTCACCCGTCTTTAAATTTCTCCAAGCCAAACAAATGCATGTTGTTGACAGTCTACCATCCTATTAAGCCGGGATGTCATATACACACCCACTCAAAGGAACCTACATCTTCGTCAGCGTAGCAGGGACGTTCCCTCTTGGCACAAGTCTATGCGTCCAGTCCGGCACATGTGATATGCCGTGTGTCACAGCGGACCACACGTGCTATGTGCCACATGCCCGTGCACTTGACTCGCACGCGTTCGTGTAACCCGAGGGTCGGCTCTGATATCAATTGTAATGCCCCAGCCAAATACACCGGTTCTTGATTGTTACGGCTAGCTAATACCTAGGATCTAGACTGGCCTGACAAACCAATACTAATCTTTTCTGCACACTTTATGCTCACTCTTATGCACCTGGAATCAACTTTCTAGTGGGCTAGCAATCCTCAAATTGCTTCAAGATAAACACGCTTAATTTTGAGGTTCTTTTCAGCCCGGAAAAGAAGGTGCACCTTATTGATATGAGTAGTCTATATCTATATCATTTCTATTAAGCCGGTATGTGACACCGATCGGTGATAACATTTCATCATAGACTGTTGACCAAATACTGGTTACTATTCATGGCTTCACTTTATTTATGTTGGTATCAACCACGGAAATGAAATTGACAAAAAAAACAAATAGAATAAACACGCATACATCACTCATTTGCACAAGCAAGTTGCTTTTCATAAAAAACAATACACATATACATTTACACACTTCACAACCAACATATATGTGGACCATATATATTTATACGACCTTACAAAGAATGGTCTATCCATCGAGCCACTTAACAATCTAGACAAAGGAAATGCAAAGTTGTTGCTGGCAATTACCACGACATGATTCAGATATATTTCAAGCACACTCAAGTCACAATACATAAATTATCAAAGTACGTACAAAGATGTCCAGGCCAGCCGTATATCACCGCCTAGCTGAGTCACGCAGCTCGGGCCTACAGGAGCATGGCCGCGGCGGCCAGCACCCAGCAGCGACGAGCCAACGCACGCCACCCAGGTGCCACCGCTGAGGCTACGCGGGCTGCCGCTGCTTCCGCCGCGTGAGCCGCCTCGCCCCCTCCCTTCCGTGACCTCCATGAGGCTGGCCACGCTGAGCAGGACGAGTAGGAATGCGCAGAGGAGCAGGATGCGTCCCATCTTCCAATCTCGCAGGCGGGCTAGCTTCTAGAGCGTGTGATTTCCTTCTCTGGCCTCCAACTAGATGTCGGGGCCAGCTGCTGCTGCTGCATTGTGTATTTATGCATGATCCAGAGTTGACCTCGTTAGGTCAACTACTTCCTCCGTCACATAATATAAGAGCATTTTTGACATTTTAAAAACGCTCTTATATTATAGGACGAAGGGAGGAGCTAGCTGACAGCACGGAGCTCGGAGCTTATTGGTCAAGGCAGAGTTGACATTGTCATTTTTCTACTCTTATTTTGACGTGGGTGCTCTTATCTTCCTAAATTAGGTAGAGGAAATTGATTCGAAATGAGTAGGACTACATCTGTACCTCATGACAGGACTTCCGTTTAGAGGATAGTGGTTTGCCTGTCATTGTTGAGTGGATCATTGCACTTATCTCTTCCATTCTAGGTTGGCAATTGGATTTGGTATGATGGTTTTTATCTCTATTATGGACCAAACAAAGCACCAGGTCGTAAGACTAGGATTTCCAGGTCAACCATGAGCAGAACAAGCCGCGGTAGGGAACGCGAGTCTCCCTCGCTTGCGTAGCCATGCTCAGTTTTTCCTTCCTTCTAATTTCCTGGACCTTTCTTGGAGTACGTTGGTTGATTGCTAGCATGACGCGCATCGTCTGGCGTTTATGGGCGAGCGTGGTAATATAGTAATACAATTATACGGTAATACTAATATATGAAGTAGAAAAGCACGATAGTTCATTAACTTGGCACGGATGCATTCATCTTGTAAAATATGATGATGGTACGGTCAAAATGTCTCATGGCTTAAGTGATTCACCTAAGCAATGAGACCTTGAAAGCAGTTTTTCATGTGTCAATAGTGGGACGTTGTGTCAATCGAGGAAGGTTTTGATGACAAGACCGGGAGATATTAGAAGTGAGAATGCCAACATGAGTAACAAGAAATACTATGACAACACGATCGCCTGCCAGTGGAAGGCTTTCTGTTTGCGTCCCTGCTTTATAAATAAAGCACCAAGTCCATATAGCAAGGGATTCAAGTAAGAACAAAGAAAATAATAAGTCTGTTGAGGCAACGTCACACGCATGCCACCAGGCGGCAGACTTGGTTAACAATTACAAATCCTGATATTGGAACATCACACATGCCCAAAATCAAAAAAACTTATCGACACCAAACGCTTTAATGGCGAGATACTGAGATATCAACTGCTAGGGGGCGCAGAGAGCTGATGGGTGACCATTTGTAGGCCATCCAGCATGCCTCCAAGCTGATCCTTCTCCCGCCACCTAAGAAGTGGATGTCACTGCAGCATAAAAGCCAATAGTTCAAACATAGAACAAATATCACATCGCAAAAAGATTTTCTCAATAATCATTACAATTCGTCCATAAAGTCCAAGTCATCGCCGCAAAGACTGATCAGAGGAGGGGTCTCTTCCAAGTGAGATTGGGTGTATAGAAAGTCGCCCAGATCTAAGGCCAGCCACTCAAGCCCCAGAGCCTCGCAGACACATCTCCACAAGAAGCGGGCAGCGGGTCACGAGAAAAAGATATGCGTCCCTCATTCGAGCATCGCCCAAACGGGATAAAGGGCATCACTGGGCCCATGTCACTTGGCCACTTCCATGCCCGAGGGGAGATGGTCACAAAGCAGCTGCCAAACGGAGATCTTGATTTTCAGTAAAAGCAGTTGAGGGAGTCCTGGATTGGGGGGTCTCCGGACAGCCGGACTATCTCCATTGGCCGAACTGTTAGACTATGAAGATACAAGATTGAAGACTTCGTCTCGTGTCCGGATGGGACCCTACTTGGCGTAGAAGGCAAGCTAGGCGATACGTATATGGATATCTCCTCCTTTGTAACCGACCTTGTGTAACCCTAACCCTCTCCGGTGTCTATATAAACCGAAGGGTTTTAGTCCGTAGGACAAGAATCACAATATACAATCATACCATAGGCTAGCTTTTAGGGTTTAGCCTCTCTGATCTCGTGGTAGATCTACTCTTGTACTACCCATATCATCAATATTAATCAAGCAGGACGTAGGGTTTTACCTTCATCGAGAGGGCCCGAACCTGGGTAAAACTTCGTGTCCCCTGCCTCCTATTACCATCCGGCTTAGACGCACAGTTCGGGACCCCCTACCCGAGATCCGCCGGTTTTGACACCGACATTGGTGCTTTCATTGAGAGTTCCGCTATGCCGTCACCACCAGGAAGGATGTCTCATCTCGTCTTTAAAGACGGCACTATCGCTGAGGGAGCTTTGGCTATTGGCCAAACTCTCCGGCTAGGTGGTTTTCTTACGACCGCCTGTTCGGCCGCTGCGCCGACGATGACTTCTCGGGTCATCGAAAGCAATCTTCACGTCAACTCGGAACTCGCCGAGCAGTTAGATCCAATGGAGCTCTCTTCCCTGAACGAGCTCTTGGATCGCATCGCCGCCCTGGGAGTCGCTATAGACTACGATCAGATTGGGCCTAAACCCGATCTGAGAGAGATTAACTCTCCCTAGGTCACCCATCGCGTTGTGGTGGTGGAGGAACAATGCGGCAACACTTCATCTATCTTAAGGACTAGCTATGTCCGGATTCCCAATCCCTCCAAGCTGGATACCCGCGGAGGGGAGGACGTCACTCAAGGCCTGAACCTAGAATTAGGCAGCGGGCTGGATTTATCAGAAAACATCCAAGAATCCAAACTTTCGAGTTCGGAAACTCCTTGGCCCCTGAGTCTCAGATCGGGTGAGGATTCGGATTCAATTCCACCCACCCACCCAAACATACGCGATCTATCCCAAATTGGGCAAGAGCCCGAAGAAACAGTACACCATTACTGGGCCAGATTCCTCCTAGTCATGAACAAGATAAAGGACTGCCGCGAGGAAGATGCAATTTCATTCTTTTGCAATAATTGCACGGACAAGGTAATCCTCAATGCCATAAGTCGCCGCGAAATTACACGCTTTGCCGACTTGGTGTCCATAGTACGAAAATACTATGCGATGGAAAGCGCCTGGAAAACCGAGATAAAATTTTGGGATAATCCGGCCCTGAATACAAACCCAGTCCGAAATAAAAGGGTGCATTATCACAATACACCTGGGTTAACTACCAAAAAGCAAAAGCCCTCAACGTGGCAAGGAACTGTACTGGAGAGATGGCTCAACGGACCCTGCAAAATTCATAGTACAGCGGATGCAATACCAACGCACAACCTTAGAGCATGTTGGATACTCCGGCAGGTGGCCAAAAGTGGTGAGGATCTACTCCTCCCAAAAACCACAGAGCACCATCCCGCGGACAACAATACGGTGTTAACGGTCTTTGAGACCTTCACATCAAATAATAGACACAAGCGAGCACTCCGCAGCATGGCCTAAATCTGCCACATAGCAGAAATAAATCCTTGGAGTGACACGGCTATTACCTTCAATGCCAGTGACGAACCCAAATTCCGAACAGCCCGAGCACCAGCCGCACTGGTCCTCAGTCCAATCATGGACGGCTTTCGACTCACCAAGGTACTCATGGAAGGCGGCAGCGGATTAAACCCCATCTACGAGGAAACTCTTCAAAAGATGGAAATAGACTGGAGCCGCATTGAGCACAGTAGCACAACCTTTCGAGGAATCATCCCCAGTCGGGAAGCACGCTGTGCTGGGAAAATCACACTAGATGTGGTATTCGGCACGCTGGATAATTACATGTCTGAAGAAATTACATTCCAAGTGGCCCCGTTCAGCAGCGGATACCACGCTCTACTAGGGCGGGAGGCGTTTACAACCTTCCAAGCCATACCCCATTACGGGTACATGAAGCTCAAAATGCCCGGGCCCAACGGAATCATCACTCTTGCTAGTGATCCTGACATAGCACTCCGCGCCAAAAATAAGACAGCCGCACTGGCCCTCGAGGCACTATCCGAAGCCCTAGCGGCCGAGGAACTAACTGCGCTGCGCTCCATGATGAACAGTGACGATGTGATACTCGATAAAAGATCCAAGTCCACCTCCTTTAAACCGGCGGACGAAATAGTCAAATTGCAAGTCCATCCAACGGACCATGCAAAAACAGCTTCCATCAGGGCACAATTAAACCCTGATGTCGATGCCGCACTGCGAGAGTTCCTACGCGAGAACTGGGACATTTTCGCCTGGCACCCTTCAGACATGTCAGGAATCCCACGCAGGCTGGCTGAGCACAGCCTAAATATCCTAAAAGGGGATTCAAGCCAGTCAAGCAGGCTCTTTGACGTTTCTCCGAGTCTAAGAGACAAGCCATGGGAGAGGAACTAGCCAAGCTATTGGAGGCCGGATTCATCAGAGACATAAAACATCCGAACTGGCTAGCAAACCTGGTGATGGTACCAAAGAAGGACAAATCATGGCGCTTGTGCGTCGATTTTAAGGACCTTAACAAGGCCTGCCCAAAGGATCCCTTCCCCCTCCCCCCGCATCGATCAAATCATAGATGCTACCATAGGACACGATTCATTGTGTTTCCTCGAAGCATACTCCGGCTACCATCAAATTAAAATGGCGGAGCCAGACCAAGCCGCAACGGCATTCATCACACCATACGGCCCATTCTGCTTCAACACAATGCCCTTCGGGCTCAAAAATGCCGGCGCAACATATCTGCGCATGATTCAGACATGTCTGGCAAACCAGATCGGCAAAACAGTGGAGGCATACGTGGACGACGTGGTCATTAAAACCAAGCATGTCGAAACTCTAGTAGACGACTTAAGGCTCACATTCGACAACCTCCGAACATACGACATCAAGCTAAATCCGGAAAAATGCGTTTTCGGCGTACCAGCCGGAAAGCTCCTGGGATTCATTGTCTCCAGTAGAGGTATTGAAACTAATCCGGCCAAAATCCGAGCGTTGTCACAGTTGGCTACCCCAACAGACCTCAAACAAATACAAAAATTGACTGGATGCATGGCGGCTCTAAGCCGCTTTATCTCTCACTTGGGAGAA